AAAAGATGCTAATAAAATGAATTGACCAGCTTTCTATGGATGAGAAAACTCTAAAACCTGATGGCTTTTTTCTGGTAACTGCAGCAGTAAATCAGCCAATCCTGGATAAATATCAGGCTGCTTTTGGGAAGAAAATGCCTCCATCAAGCTACAAAAACATTATGAAAAGGGGTAGAGAATTGCAGGTGGGAGAAGTGTTCAGGCTCTCTCCCCTCTCTTCCCAATCTCTTTCACAAGGCAATGCTAGACATGATGCATTGCAAATTATTAATACCACTGTGCCTGTATTGGATTTGAAAATTCAGGAACATGTATCTATATTTAATTCAGGTATCTGTTTCTGTAGAGAAGGGAATATGAATGGCTGGTGGGAATAGCTATCTATATTCAATAGTGACCAACATAATTATTTTACATGCTTTCTGTTCCCTTACATCCTTTTATTTCCTTAGCACATATTCATTCACTTAACAAACAGTAATTGCTAGGCATGATCTAGAAGCTGAGGACAGAGTAACAGACAAAACAAAGTCCCTACCCTCATTGAACTACCATAAAGGGGTGACACACAATAAACACACCACTGAACATATGTCATGTAAGATAAGGCTAAAAGCAGTGGAAATGATTAAGAAGGCTAAGGCATATAGGGTGTGCTATGTAGAAAGCACTTTATGATATCAGATAATCAGGGACCTAATTAGGTTATTATTGAGCAGAGCAGACCACATACATACCAGGGGGAAGAGGGAACACTCAGGGTAAAGAGAATGAATCTGGAATGCACTTGTCATTTTCCAGGACACTGTTGTGTCTCAGAAGGAGCAAGAAGGCCAGTGGACAGAAATAACAAGGGTGGGTCAGGGGCAATGTGAGGAGATGAGAGGACAAGGGGAGCAGGTTCACATCTTAGACAATATTTTGTTTCATTCAGTAAGAACATTGATGTTCACCATGATTGAGGTGGAGCCACTGAAATACTTCTGTGTGGAGAGTTTCCTTGTGCCCCATCTTCTGTGCACTAGGATGTGACAAGGTGTAAATAGGATAGGTGTAAATAGGTTTTCACCATCCCTGAGCTTCTACACTAGCTAAGCATGTGCTAGGATGGGTGATAAAGATTTGGAATGTCAATTTTGCCATGAAGGAGTTCCTGATGTAGTTGAGACAGGGAGAATAAATGGAAATTACATCACAGTGTCATAAGGGAATATTCAGTGCATCATGACGTTATAAATGAGAGGAACCTCCCACTCACTAGGAGAAATCAGGAACTATTTTTTTGAGACAAGTGTCCAGATTAGAGTGGTCAGCATGGGAGAGACATTATAGAATGACACTTAAGGAAGGGGATAGCATGTACTGAGGGACAAACGTGGCCACTTGGCCTGCCTTGAGTTTTTCAACATGATGGACATACAGAGCATGCCTACAATGGGGAACAGGGGAGAATTCCAGGAATGTAGAAATTATGCTCAGATTATTCCTAAGATTTCTAATGAATCTATATAATGTGTCCAGGCAAAGCTACTCTGGCTAGGATAAGTTTCCTCCACCAATCCAATGAGGCTGTGTTTGGGATATAAGAGCTATTTATTGAACAGCTAGTTCAAGAAGAAATTTCTGAATAATAAAATCATTGCCTTGGTAAAAGACAAGATTTTTTTTAGGATCTTGAATGCCAGGCACAGGAGCTCAAACTTTATCCAGTGAGGATTAGAAGTGACTGAAGTTTTTAAAATATCATAAATGCACTTTCTGGGAAGTTTCATTTTACAGACCTGTAAAAATCATATGAGAATTGGCAGAAAACAAAAAGGAGATAGGTAAGCACATTATAACAATGGCCAAGGCCTGGAGAAAATAGGAGACATGGAAAGACACCGAGAAGGTGGAAAAGGGGACATGAACTGCTCTTGCCTTCCACCATTTACTTCTCCTTTTGATAGGTAGCAACTGAATTTTCCTTTGAAGGAATTACCTCTATCCCATGGTATGCCAAATGACCCAGAATTCCAAGCCCTCCCTGGCCAAAGTTTGGCCACATGACCACAAATGAAAACAAGTAACTAATCAAATATTCAGAAGCCTAAAAAAGGCTGGTTTCTGAGAGATTCTGGTAAAGAAAAATCATAACACAATTTCAATTCCACAAGTATTTCTTTTAAACAACTATTATGGATATAGAAGAATGTAAAGAACAAGGTCTCTATTCTCAAACTTCCTATATTTTAGATGTATCTGATGTCCTTCTTTCCCTCTGGCTTCATTTACACTCTATCTCTTCTTAGTTTGCATGACCAGCAATGATACAACAAAATAGCAAAGGCAATGGAATGCCCAAAAAGTACTGAAAAAGTCACACATGCTGAAAGTTTAGTGGGTGGGAAAGAAAGTGTCTAACCAGGCCAGGCGCGATGGCTCAAGCCTTTAATCCCAGCACTTTGGGAGGCCAAGGCGGGTGGATCACGAGGTCAAGAGATTGAGACCATCCTGGTCAACATGGTGAAACCCTGTCTCTACTAAAAATACAAAAAATTAGCTGGGCATGGTGGCGCACACCTGTAATTCCAGCTACTCAGGAGGCTGAGGCAGGAGAATTGCCTGAACCCAGGAGGCGGAGGTTGCAGTGAGCCGAGATCACGCCATTGCACTCCAGCCTGGGTAACAGCAGCGAAACTCCATCTCAAAAAAAAAAAAAAGAAAAGAAAAAAAGAAAGTGTCTAACCAAGTTCAGGTATGGCAAAAACATAATCTCCAGGCATACAAAAATGTTCAGTAATGAGCCTCTATATTTTGTAAGTCAATAATTCTTTTGAGTATGTCTGTATACATGTGTACATGTCTAAATTAACATTTTCAAAGAAAGAATTAAACATATCCATTAAAACATATCCTCTGATTATGAAAACTGATTACGCTTTTGCCATACCTGAACTGGAGAATGACTACTTACTTATCCAAAACTTAACTTTTTTGATTGCTACTATTTAAGATTAGGGTCAAAATAACAGATTTAAGGTTAGAGACATTTGGACTCAAATTCTAGCTTAGTTACATATTGACTATGACTTTCAAAGACTTCTCTCCTTAAATGTGTGATGTGTGATTTTACCACTGACTGTATATCAGACTCAGCCAGGGAGCCTTATAAAAATACATATATCCCAACTTCATACCTAGAAATTCTAATGCACCAGGTCTAGAGCAGAGACTTTACAACAAAGAAAAAACGTGGAGTAAAAAAATGTGTACCGCTCCCGGGAGAATCTAATGGATAGCCAAGGATAAGCATTACTGCCTTAGATAGCTAACAGTCAAATCCATCATGAAATGGACCACATGCATCATGGGAGGTGGCTGAACTGAATGGCTTTATGCCACAATCGATTTATCTAGATAAATAGAGAAATGATTTTCATCAGGGCAATGTTCATGGAGTCAGAAGTCACTGGGCATCGATGGCAGGGGTTTTTGTGAGCTGCTGGAGTAAGCTGACATGTAGGACCATAGTTAGGTGAAGAGATGGCACACAGAAGGGAACCTTGAAATGCTACAATTTACTGTAACTTTTTTTTAATAGGCCAATGAAAGAGAAAGGGGGTTTATTTTCAGCTTATTTCTCTGCACACAGAGCCATGGATGTCACTGACCATTGTAGCAAGCCAAAGTATAGCTCTCCTGTGTGGAAGGAAGGACATGCCTTTCCTCAGTCACTCCACTCAAAGGCATGCATGCAACAACCCTAAATCTGCCTCACTGAACTCCAGGAGGCTTCCCTAGCTGGAAATGTAATAGGGTTCTGCTGCCTAGTCCCAGCTAAGACTTCCCACCTTCTCATACTCTTAAGAGACATTTTATGCTGAGCACTGTACCCACAGTGGTCTGGATACTTTATGTGCTATTCATTACTTAATCCTTGGCATGAGCCTGTGTAGTAGGTAAAATAGCTCTACATTTTTTACCGAGGAAGAAACTGGGTCACTTGGCCAAGAATCCACACAGCTAGTTAGTTAAGTGCAGACCAGGGTTTCAATCCCAGGTCTGCCATGTCCACAGTACAGACTTTCAGCCACTGTACCAGTGGTGAATAGGCTTCTCAAGGGCAGAACCCCATTTCACCAATTGAAGATCTCACAACCCACTTCAAAGACAGCCAGTTTGAGTTGCCTTGGATTTTTCTGTAATTACATCTGTCCTCTGATCCTTTTTGCTTTGCTTGGATGAAAAAAAATGCCTTTGATTCTTCTAATGTATATTTATGTAGTGCTTATGCATAGTGTCTGGCACTTGGTAAATTAGTTATTATCACTGTGGCTGTTATTTTTGTTATTAGCACTGCCTCCTTAACCAGCCTATCTCTATTTGTTTTCTGAGTTCCATTTCTTCCTTTTGCTTTAGAACTTTACTCATATTTTGGCATTGATCCTCATATCTTCTCTCTATATACTCTTTATGGGACTTTGTATCTGTTCTTCCAGCTTTAACTTTTTATGTTACCCCCCAAAAAACTGCACCTGTAGCCTCGACTTCCCTCCCATACATTACATCCTTATTTCTCATGTACTTTCCATAAATATCTCCACACAAATATCTTGCCAGCCAATGAAATTCACAATATTTGAAACTTAAAGAATTATATTCCTTTCAAAATCAGCTTTTTTTTTTTTGAGTTATATTTTAATGGCACACTGAGTCCCCTAGTAACTCAGGTTGAACATTTCATAATTACATCTAATTCCCTCCTCTCCCTTTATCCTCCATAACCAATCAATTACTAAATATTCTTGTGTCTACCTGGCCTCAGGCCTCTCCCTACCAATCTGGTTGCCCCTACGTTCAATCAGAGACTAAAGAGATGTTAGCCTAGAAACTTGAGGGACCTTCTTTTCTTCTAATTCACCTTCTTCTAAAACACTTTAGACACAACTGTCATATCAATATTCCCATATAGGCCAGGTGCAACGTTCCACTGTTAAAAATTCAAAGTGTTGCCCTTTCAGCTTCTCCTCCCGCCCTCCAAGATCTAAACCGAGAATCGAAACTAAGCTGGGGTCCATGCAGCAGGAGCCTGCACCCGAACGACCTCCGGTGCCCCAGCAGGACCCCACCCGGCCCCACGCGCCCACCATGCCTCCCCCCGACACCCCCTCTGAAGGCCGCCAGCCCAGCCCCAGCCACAGCCCTGCAGAACAAGCCACGGAGGAGTTCCAGTTTCTGCGCTGCCAGAAATGCCAGGCCAAAGCCAAGTGCCCGAAGCTGCTGCCTTACCTGCACACGCTGTGCTCGGGATGCCTGGAGGCGTCGGGCATGCAATGCCCTATCTGCCAGGCGCCCTGGACGCCAGGTGCAGACACACCTGCACTGGATAACGTCTTTTTCGAGAGTCTGCAGCGGCGCCTGTCGGTGTACCGGCAGATCGTGGATGCACAGGCTGTGTGCACCCGCTGCAAAGAGTCAGCCGACTTCTTGTGCTTTGAGTGCGAGCAGCTCCTCTGCGCCAAGTGCTTCGAGGCACACCAATGTTTCCTCAAGCACGAGGCCTGGCCCCTGGCAGAGCTGCGCAACCAGTCGGTGCGTGAGTTCCTGGACGGCACCCGCAAGACCAACAACATCTTCTGCTCTAACCCCAACCACCGCACCCCTATGCTGACCAGCATCTACTGCCGCGACTGTTCCAAGCCGCTGTGCTGCTCGTGCGTGCTCTTTGACAGCGGCCACACCGAGCTAAAGTGCGACATCAGCGCGGAGATCCAGCAGCGACCCGAGGAGCTGGATGCCATGACGCAGGCGCTGCAGGAGCAGGACTGCGCCTTCGGTGGGGCGCACGCGCAGATGCACGCGGCCGTCGGCCAGCTGGGCCGCGTGCGGGCGGAAACCGAGGAGCTGATCCGCGCGGGCATGCGCCAGGTAGTAGCTCACGGGCAGGCGCAGGAGACCGAGCTGCTGGAGGCGGTGGAGGCGCGGTAGCAGCGCGACTACGAGGAGATGGCCAGCCGGCTGGGCCGCCTGGACGCTGTGCTACAGCGCATCCGCACGGGCAGCGCGCTCGTGCAGAGGATGAAGTGCTATGCCTCGGACTAGGAGGTGCTGGAGATGCACGGTTTCCTGCGCCAGGCACTCTGCCGTCTGCGCTAGGAGGAGCCCCAGAGCCAGCAAGCTGCCTTGCGCACGGATGGCTTCGACGAGTTCAAGGTGCGCCTGCAGGACCTCATCTCTTACATCACCCAGGGGACAGATGCAGCTGTATCCAAGAAAGCCAGGCCAGAGGCTGCCAGCACTCCCAGGGACCCTATTGATGTTGACCTGCCCGAGGAGGCAGAGAGAGTGAAGGCCCAGGACCAGGCCCTGGGGCTGGCTGAAGCCCAACCTGTGGCTGTGGTACAGTCATTCCCCGGGGCACACCTCGTGCCAGTGTACGCCTTCTCCATCAAAGGCCCTTCCTACAGAGAGGAGGTCTCCAATACAACCACAGGCCAGAAAAGGAAGATCATTCAGACCCAGCGCCTCAGGAAGGTCATCCAGGAGTCTGAGGAGGGTAAGGAGGCGAGGTTGGCTCGGAGCTCCCCCGAGCAGCCCAGGCGTAGCACCTCTAAGGCAGTCTCACCACCCCACTTGGATGGGCCGCCCAGCGCCGGGACCCCCGACATGGGAAGTGAGGCCATCCCACCCAACAGCAACCATGTGGCCAGTGGCGCCGGGGAGGCAGAGGAGTGCATTGTGGTGATCAGCAGCTCAGAAGACTCAGATGCCGAAAACTCGTGCATGGAGCCCACGGAGACCGCCAAGCCACAGTCCTCGCCAGCCCAGTCCCTGCTGAGAACACAAGAAGCCTCCATCCTGCCGCGTGGTACATGCCATCTGCCGGCTTCGCCTCCCCACTAGCCCACTGAGGTTCCCGACGCTGAACCTCAGAGCCAGCCTGCCAATCACCAGGAGCACCCTGCCGTCCACCGTGGGATCCGTCACCTGTTGTGCAGAGCACAGAGAGCCATCCACCTTCGCCATGCCCTCCACTTGCACCCTTGATTGCATCGGGCCCGCCTTCCGACTTGGTCTCACCACGTGGTTTAGGCCAACACTCCTGCCACCACAGGGCCCCTCAACCATCCTGCCAGTGCCCAGGAACATCCTGCCCAGCTGCAAAGGGCCATCAGCCCACCCCGCCGGATACGAGGGGCCATGAGATCCCGAAGCCGCTTCCTCCGGGGCTCCTCTCATTTATCCCAGTGGCTCAACCACTTCTTTGCCCTCCCCCTCTCCATGGCTCCCCAGCTTGACACTTCTTCCATGCTGGGGGCAGGGGGAGGCAGAGCCCAGACTCTTGGAGCAGGTGTTACCCCTGGGGATTCTGACAGAGGCCCCATGGAAGCCCCTCAAGTCCAAGTTCCTCGGGAAGCCTCTCCAATTACAATCCCACCACCCTGTTCCCCAGAAAAACCTCGCATCAGCCCAGTCCCAGGGCCCTGTCAAGCAGGCCTCTGAGCGTGCCACTCCTCTCTTGTAACCTTGCAGCCAACACCCCTGCCCAGCCCCTGAGCTGCCTCCTCCAGCCCATGCTCTTACAGGCCCTGGAGAGTAGGCATTCATTAATTGTTGGTTAAAGAATGAATGAGTGAATGGCTATGCATGGACCTCTGGGTAGGGAGACTTGGGTCTTCTCTGGCTGAGAGGGGAAGGCTAAGGCATGGCTGAGATTCAGGCCACCCTCCCAGGCCTCTTTGCCCAAGAAGGAAGCTTCTCTCACACCTGCACCCTCCTGTGTTCTGAGTCCCTGGCCAATAGCACAGCCCTCCATGCCCTGACCCCCACCCCAAGCCTTTCCACAGGGCCTTTGCTAGGACCTAAGCCCATGAGCACAGGGACTGGCTATCCCAAGACCTGGTAGACATGGCTGCTCAAAAAACACTTGTTGAACGATTAAAAAAAAAAAAAAATCAAAGTGTTGTTCCTTAACTGAAATGGGTGGGGGCTGGATCTTTAAGTAATTTTTATATCAGTAATTCATGTAGCCTCCTCTTGGTCATCTACACATGGCTCTACCCTCGATGATATGGGCATGCTTAACTCATGAGTGGGGATGCCTGTCTGACCTGAGATAATCTATGTCTTTTTTCTTTTTTAGACCGAGCCTCGCTCTGTCACCAGGCTGGAGTGCAGGCACGCTATCTCAGCTCACTGCAACCTCTGCCTCCTGGGTTCAAGCAATTCTCCTTTCTCAGCCTCCTGAGTAGCTAGGACTAGAGGCATGAGCCACCATGCCCAGCTAATTTTTGTATTTTTTAGTAGAAACGGGGTTTCACCATGTTGGCCAGGATGGTCTCAATCTCTTGACCTCATGATCCACCAGCCTTGGTGTCTCAAAGTGCCAGAATTACAGGCGTGAGCCACTGCGCCCGGCCGATAATCTATGTCTTATCTTCTTTTTGGTTATAGGCATTACCAAGAGTATTCCAAAGAAAGAGACAGGAACTGATGTTTGTAAACAATGATGGCTAACAAATCCAAATACTAACTCCTCTATATCTCTGGCCCATAAGGAGCTTTGTTTCGTTCTTACTCCTCTAACTTCCTTTCACATATTGATTGCACTTATTCTGTTTTGATACTTCTTGTTTTTTATTTTTGAGACAAGATCTTGCTCTGTCGTCCAGGCTGGAGTTCAGTGGTGCAATCTCAGCTCACTGCAACCTCTGCCTCCCGGGCTCAGGTGATCCTCACACCACACCCTCCTGAGCAGCTGGGACCATAGGCCTGTGCCACCACCCCCAGCTAGTTTTTGTATTTTTTGTAGACTCAAGGTCTCTATATTGCCTCGGCCAATCTTGAATTCCTGAGCTCAAGTGATCCTCCCACCTCAGCTTCTCGAAGTGCTAGCATTATAGGCATAGAGCCACAGCACGCAGCCCTGTTTGGATACTTTTGTGTTGTCTTACATTATTAGTTCTCTTTAAAGGTATACTGTCCTCTCTTTTTATTCTGAAAATATCATAAGAACTAGCCTTCTCAACTCGAGATATTCTATGCTGGCCTTAAAAAGTGATTGGCCCTAGCAGATGCTCAGTAAGTATTATTAGGATCTAGTATGTGGCTGATGCTCATTTTGGATTCCCTACCTATGTGGAATGAGGTTTAGAGCAAGCGTTCCTCAGCGTGACTATTTGTATCAGGTGGTACTTTTTTGGGTTTGAGTGATTTAAAACACAGTTCATCTTGACTTAAACACTGTGACTGATGCTGCTGAAACATCTAAACATAGATTTCAAGTCAGACAAGCCTGATCAAGAAGCTCAACTGATTCATCAAGATCCAGTTTCTCTCCATCTCTCCTCTCTGCTTTCCATGGTGTCAGCTTCATTCTCAGGCTACACACACCAGCGCCCAACAGCTTAAGGCTTTCTCTGCCTGTAGCAAACAAAATGTCCACTACAAGTCTGGAGCTCACATCTTTAACCACTGTCTTCAGAGGAAAAGAGTCATTTGCAATAGCTCTAGGTTTTAGGAGTCACTCTCTACCATTGGCCTGAATGGGGCAAAAGTGGATCTATCTCTTAAAAATAACCACATGGTGGAGAAGAGACAGAAACTAAACACACAGAAGGAAATTTGGGTGCTGATGGCAAGAAAAGGGTAAAATTAATATTTAGGCTGAAACCAACACCTTCACTACACTGATCATCAGAATCACCAGATAAACGTAAAAATTCAGATTTATGGGCCCTATATCAAAACTTCTGACTCAGAAGCTTGTTCTAAAGAATAGGATCTGCATTTTATAAAACCCACTCAGGTAATCCAGGTTGTGGGATCAAAGTGTCTTGCTTCTGTCTCTTCCTTCATTTACTTCTGTAACACAGAACAACAATCCATATATACACTTAAAGCATATAAAATAATGCTTAGAAAAAAATATGAGTACCAAGGAAACTGACTCTGTAAATATAAAAGTGTAATTATTTTCAAAAAGCATTTCTGCCTGTAACCTCATCTTAAAAAAAAGCATGTGAGCTGCAGGGATGTCTGATTCTGATCTTTCAGACTCACTAACACAGATTTATTCCCTTAGATGGCACAAGAAGCAGTTGCATCTTTGAGGGGGGTAGAAATCTATCCTCCCGGGCAGCCTGGCCCTATCCTGAAAGAGTCACAGACATAATATCACAGAGAAATTCAATATAAATGGACGTTTCCTCTGATGATACAAAATCATCAGAAACTTTGCAGGCATTTGCATAAGTGTGACATGAATGTGAGAAGGATGAAGTGCTAAGAAACCCAGGTTCCCTCCTGGCACAAAGTCTGCTCTCAAACACCGGCTTCGGAGCATTCACTTGAGCAATTCTCATACGGCGTGCCACGCCAATGAAGTTGCAGAATGCTCCATTGAGCTTGCCTGGCCCAGGAGAGATCCTATGCAACACCAGAGCAGTGTGTCTGGAGAAGAAAAGGAATAGAACAGCTGTGCAGCCAGCTCCAATTGCTCACCTGCCGGCATGAAGGTTTAATACCCTCAACTGATTAAACTTAAACAAACAAACACGAAAACAGAAAGGGAAGAGAGATGTGAGGGACAGGAGAGTGGCAAGTTGCTGGAGAGACTCACTTTAGCTCGTCCTCCTGGATCATGTCTGCTCTCTTTCAGTGAGCAGGTCATTTTTCCGTCTTCTTCCAGCTGTATAGGCTTGCTTCCCTTTCATTCTCCCACCTCTCAGCCACTCTTCACTAGTCTCTCTACCACCTCCTTCTTCTTCTTCTTCTTCCTCTTCTTCTTCTTCTTCGTCCTCCTCTTCTTCTTCTTCTTCTTCTTCCTCTTCTTCTTCTTCCTCTTTCTTCCTCTTCTTCTTCTTCTTCTTCTTCTTCTTCTTCTCTTCTTCTTTCTTCTTCTTCTTCTTCTTCTTCTCTTCTTCTTTCTTCTTCTTCTTCTTCTTCCTCTCTCTCCATCCCAAGTGTTCTGAAGAAGCCAACATGCTGGATAACAGATGGTCCTTGACATATTGTGTCACTTATCACACGACAGCCCCAATCCTGCTAACAGGGCCTTTCCCATAAGTCACTGTCGACTTTTACACGGCCCCAATGCATCAAAAAGAAATGGTTTAATACAATGTGCTGTAATTCCCGAGTCACAGCTCAATGGAGGGGTTTGGGACATCGAGCTTCCTTTCCTTTCCATTTTATTTACTTGTTTCAACTGGCTCTTGTTCCTGACAAATGGATGAATGAACTCATCTGAGGTCAGGTGGAGGGAAAAATCATCCACAGAATTATGTTTCAGGTTGGAAGAAAAAGGGAAGGTAGGTCTAGAGTGGAAGGCAGAAAATGCAGGCTGCATTCTATTATCACACTCCCTAGCAGGCACTTGCTTATTTTCTATGGAGCAGGGCATCCGCCATGCTTAACAACAAGGAGTGCTCAGTGGTGAAATTCTATAAATCCAGACTGACACAGGAGTGCCCTGCTGCATCCCCAATGGGAGGAGAGTTGACTGCATCAACTGCAAGGGGAGGTTCCCTGACCAAACCTTCACTGAGGGCTGCTCCTGCTTTGGCCAGAGTAAAAGGGTTTTGCGGTATTTCCTGTTATAACCCATTCATCCCAGAAGCATCGTCATAGCAACAAGTCACATCTTTGTAAGCACCAAAGGGCATTGCAAGTTCACACACTTTACGGCTTTCTTTCTCTCCAGATCCTCACGGCTGACTTGCCACTCCTGTCCGCTTGCCAGTGGGTTGCATCACCCCCAGGCTGATGGGCTTCAAGTCAAGCTGAGTGCCAATGTGATTGTTCTTCACCCCCACCTGAGGCCTTTGATGCAAGTGACTTCCATTCCCATGGGAAGCAGACAGGAAGATGCACACAGGAACTCAGACATGCAAAGACAACATGGTTTACACTTTTTATATATATATAGTACCACCCCATACATTGAATTGCAGATTTAAGATTTTCATTATCTTAAATCTGCAATTCTATGTATCTCAATTTATTTTTTGATTTAAATTGTCTTTGGGGTTAAAACAACTTGGTAGGAAACTGAATTGAGTGAACTCGGAATTTAACTTTCAGTTAAATGTTCTGCCTTCCTTCCTTTTTTCCAAGACAGGATGTGTTGTTGTGGGACTGCGAAGGCATAGGGAGCAGGTGGCCCCTTGTCTCATTCTGGTCTCTTGACTGCTAATGGCTGGGTTGGCCTTTAGGTGTGGGCTGCTGGCCCTGGTGCTGACCCCTGGCACACTCTCCCTTTCTGCTGCTGGTTTTCTTGCTGTTGTCCATAGCTCTTCTGTTGCTGCATGGACAATCCTTTCAAGGATCCTAAGAGCCACCTTGGTTCTTAGTGCCTGGGACTCCCACTCAGGCCTTAGGAGGATGGCCTGCCCGCAGATAACTTTTGGCCCTAGGCTCATACTATCCTGTAGTGAATGAACTCTTTGGACAAGCTCTCCAGCTAGATTTCCAGGAACTCTTCTGAGAGTCATGTGAAAAATTTCAGGTCCTTTCCCACCATGCAAAAGCTGAGTGAATTGGGGTTAGAAGGAGAGCTAACCCCAGCTCTCCTTCTCCCTGAACAATAAAGTAGGAATTCCTATCCAAGTGACTTCTTTGGGAAGGATATTCTTTGAAGAAAAGTGAAATGAGGAAAGCCAGCAAGCAAGAGGGAAGGAAAAAGCCAGTGAGATTGTGTTCTCCAACAGATATATAAAAAAGAAACGCTCAACACCACTAATCAATCATCAGGGAAGTGTAAGAAACCACAGTGAGATATCATCTTACCCCAGTTAGAACGGTTATTATCAAAAAGACAAAAGATATCAAATTCTGGCAAGGATGTGGAGAGAGAGGACTGCTTGGCCACTGTTGGTGGGAATGTGAATTAGTACCACCTTTATGGAAAACAGTACAGAGATTCTTCCATAAACTGAA